CCTTCCCCTTTCCGCCATCCCTTTTCCCTTTCCTCTCTTTCCTTTTCCCCCTTTCATCTTTCCCTTTCCTCTTCCACTTTCCTCTTCCCCTCTTCCCCCTTTCCTCTTTCCCTCTTTCTGTTTTCCTCTTCTCCCTCTCCTTTTCCTTCCCCCTTCCCTTTTCCTCATCCCTTTTCCACTTCCCTCTTTTCCCCTTTCCCTTTCCTTTTTCCCCTTTCCGCTTTTCCTTTCCTTTTTCCTGTTTTCTCCTTTTTTTCCCCCCCTTTTTTTTCTTTTTTTTTTTTTTGGACATTGTGGATGCAGCAAATACACTATATTTTGGACTCATCCAATTAAAAATCTTTTTTTTTCCACAATAAAGTAGAATTTCCCTTTCAAGACACCTCTCAGTGCCAAAATAACACATCCAAGTGACAGTGATTAAAATGAAGTTAAAATGAAGTTAAGAGCTGGAGCAATGCTGAGGGCACCAAGTGCTCTGTGCAGACATTAAGACATTAAGTGACGTGTATTATTTGCATGGCTTTTTTTTGTCTTTCTTCCTTGAGCCTTTCCGTATGGTAGAATCAGGATCAATAGCTACCCTGTTATATTGCTGCATATCCAGTGCTAGTTACTGCTTTTTCTGTATTTTTTTTCCAAGATCTTTTTTTTTCAACTTACCGCAAGCTTCATCTCATGAGTTAAACACCGAGTATCAAAAATGCAGAGAGGCTCAGGAGACTCAAGAGAGAGTCAGTGTTGACACTGGACAGTTCCCAGTACCAGATAATTCGTTTTTGTTGTTATTGTTTCCCTACGGCTGTGTATTGAGGTCACCAGCCTCTCTTGGAAAAGCGCTAGGGAGCAAAATCAAAGGAACCGGGGAGCTCATCCTAGATAGGAGTTACACACAACCCCCCCATACAAAACAGCCAGTTAAAGCTGGTCAAGACAACGATGCTTAATTTGCAAATGGTCTAGAATTGTGGTTTTGCCTTTGCATCTTAAAACTGTAGCCTTAAATCCTATGTCATTAAATCCATATGAAGGAAGGGGCAAGCATTCTGAGGAAGGGTGATATAGGTGAAAGGGCTTGATTTTTTTGTGATAATTCCCCTTTTTTGTACCATAACTCTCATAAAATCCTTCTGCCTTCAGGAGAGAAAGCAAGAGAGAGGTTTCCTCACCAGACAGCTGGTTTGCTGCTGGGACCCTGCAGGACTCAAACCCAACGGCCTCTCGCTTTGGTAGGAGGGAAACAGAAAACAGAGGATATTGCATTAATACTTTGGGCAAAGTAGAAGTGTCCATTTCACACCAGAGTTTTGTGCACTGGTTGGCTACAGAATCTCTGTCAAATGGATGGAGTGGCTTTTTCTTGCTGTGTCTGATGCACCTCTTCTTCTGTCAGGGCAGGTGTCTTTGATGGACATAGAAATCTTTACTGAAATTGATCGGATCAATAAGGGTTCGGCCTTGGTGGCAAAAACTCACGGAAGGCAAATGTGCAAAACAAGGAGTACTCACAGGGACACATTGGCTTTCCAGGGGTCGATTTGTCCAACTCGAAAAGACAAAAGGTGAGCTCATCACTTAGCCTAAAGAACAGCCTGGGTGCTGCCATCAGCACAGCAATTGGGCAGGAACTTCTCAAAATAGATAAAGTATCAGTATGTGAAGAGGCAGAAAGGAGCAACGTCTGGCGCCCCTGACAGTTCCTGGCAAAGTCTAGTTCCTTAACTTGACTGGCCAGTGGAAATGGGCTTGTTCTAAAACACTGCACGAGCATGACTTCGTGACCGGGTTTCTGTATAAGTAAGTAAGTAAGTAAGTAAATAAATAAATAAATAAATAAATAAATAAGAAAGAAATACATGAGTGAGCTTAAAATTTGGCTTTGGAAAATGGGTAGCATTTCTGATTATTCTGGCTGCTGAGTGTTAGTGTTCACATGAAAAACAGCATGCTTACTTGTGTGGACCTTAATGCAAGCTCTCAAAGATGAAAATGTGGGGAAGGCGACACAGTTCAGGTTTACAGAAACACAGGTTCACGGAGATCATGATCGACTGGGGAGCTGACACTGACCTCCATCAGCAGACCTGTAGTAAAGTGGAAATATCATTTATATGAAGACAGCTCATGTGTCGTAGTTACCAAAGACAATAGACCATAGAGACCAGAAACCCTGAAAAGTGTCAGTTTTGCAGATAAATTCGGCCAAAGTCTTCCTATGCTCTTTACATCGTACATCAGAAGGAGTATGCTTTTTTCTTTCTTAAAGTAAATGCATCCGAGAGTGCAGATACTCTTACCTGCTCATCTTTCTGTGGATCTATAATATGTAATATTATGAGTATGACAGATTGCATTGAAAGGGTGGATGACAATTTGCAACAGTCCAGCTAAGTAGTGTACAGCTAGTTATGACTTTTCTCCCTTCCCATAAAATATAGTCGTTTTTATGTAACATTTCTGTTCTGAAATGACACTCATAAATGTGTGCTGCTTCCCTGTCTTTAGAATATCTCGGTCTTTTTTTTCTTTATTTTCCTAAAGACAAACACATCTGGCTTTCTTTGTGGGTTTAAAAATACAGACTCTTCCAAAGGAGCTAATTTGCTGTGAACTCTCAAAGTGTATT